CTTAACATGCTCTAATTACGATCCCGCCTGTGGGACAGTGAAACGCAAGTCTGTTAATAAATGTCTTACTTATGAAAGTATTTTTAATTTAAGATGTGAGATTACAACTGTATTAGTTTTAAAACAGTAAGACTGTCTACTTTATGATTATACTTTTGAAGTCTTGTCCAGTATGTTTGCGTTACTTATGACCTACCTTGTAAGAAATTTAAGTCATTAATTAGAAATTATTACCAACTTTCAGCAACGCAATTTTTATGTAACTCCATATTATAGGATGCACGGTCTTTATCACCGCTTTAAAGATTTCCATTCGTAAAACTTCTACCCATTTATCTTGCGAATACTTAATTGGAAATAACATCCACAGCTGTAATTAATAACCTGAGTTAAGTTATGCGATTTCTTAAACTGAATATAATAAGGAACTAAGTCTACAGGAGAAGTTTATTTTAAATAAAAGAAAATGACTAGTTCAGTGCAGATATAAGAAAGTAAAATCGATCAGAGAAGTTTTTTAAAAGAACAGGGAGAATTTTTTGGACCATTCATAAGTACGAACACTAAAAAATGCCTCGTATTTCAGTTTTGATATGTTTTCTCAGCCACTTAAATTGCCTTGTTCTGCGATATAACCTCTCCTGTCAACACCAAAAGCTTTTTTTTAATGAAACATCCACAGGATTTGAGAGCAGACACCACCAAGGCAAACACAACATCGACGGAAAATTACCAGTCAACGGAACGTGCACTTACGATAAATGATTCAGTTCATGTTAGTTGGTCATCTCAAGAAGAGAACTAATTTTTCTAATGAAACAAACATGGCTTTCTCAACACGATTTTACATGTTTTACGCTATATTAAATCTGCAAAGGAAAAAATATCAACGATCAAGGCAAGTAAATCTAATTATGTCGCGATTCATACTCAAAATTAGTTTGTCATAAGATAAAAACACACAGAGAGATAGAACCAAATTAAAAAAAGGAGAGGTTCTAATGAGCAAGAAGCTTC